CAATGTGGTACATCGTTTCTCATTCGCTCGTATCCATTGCAAACCTATGAGTGGCTGTATGGTGTCACATGGCATAACCTTTAGTTTCAACAATTATTTTGACTTTGCATCTCAGTTTTTCATAAACTCTAACTTCTCACACAGGATCTTACCTTGCACAATCTTCGGGCTCCTTTGCCTCTTCTACATACACGTTTCTGTAACAAGAGAACCATCTGAAAAGCTCATGCCGGGGTCAAAAACATACTTTTCCGCGCAGCTGCTTAGCGAAGACATCATATTCGAGACCGAAAAGGCGTTTGCTGAAGGAGTACCCCATTGGGAATGCGAGCTACAATCTTTGCGGACGTATCCTTGTGCTCCTCTATCATTAGCTCAAACGATGACAGAATTGCTGACGTATCCATCCTTCGCTTAGTGGATCTTATCATGACATCAGGGATTTGTCCAAATAACCACTACGGACCAAAAGATTCTGCGTGAGCAATGTATCACCAAGTCAAGTGAAAGCAGTGCTGGTCCCACGGAAAGAAACATCAATGGCATTGAAAGGTATCCTCGTGGCCTTTGTGTACTGTGCAAAGAAAAAAGGCGATCCTCAAATTTAATGCACTAGTTGCAAGTGAACAATCCTTTGATGTGGAGGTCATGGTACTGATATGGATTTACAGTAGACTTCGGTAGCCACTGCTGATCCGTGGTAGTACCCCTTGATCGTTCTGTTGAGTACTGGGGTTTCCACGCACTCGATATCAATCCAGTCCAATATATTGGTAATAACAGGAGAACACAAAAAGAAGCGAATGTAGAACAAGGGATTTTATAGCGGAACTTTCCCGCACGATCACATATCGATTAGATAGATCACTGTGACAAACTACATGATCGATCCTACTCTCATACCCTCATACATAACATCACACGAAACACACACACACACACACACACACACACACACACACACACACACACACACACACACACACACACACACACACACGCACACACACACACCAACTCTACCACATAAGCATAACACACGCAGATCAAACACACATGCTCAGACACTAGAAACATACAGGCACGCTCAGACACGATGAACATATACTGAAACATACAAACGCGCAAACACACACAGTCCATGCACATACAACACTCAATCACATAAACATACACGCACAGACAACACATTCAACACGACGATGTCCAGACACCTGAACACACACACATGCTCAGTGACGGGAACCTTACACGTGCTGCAATATACGAACGCACAAATACACACAGACAAATGCACATTCGCATACTCACACGAACACGCACTCATAAAAAACACACGCAGCGCTTACAAACCAACATACTATACGCACTCACACACATAACGCACACGACTCGAGGCACACATAATTCAAAACCCTGGGAAATACACACACCTAAGCACACACACCCACACATTCAATACACATAATACAAACAACAACACACATGCACATGCATCCACGCACAAGAGCACGCAAAAAAAACCTAGAACACACACCCAAACACACACACGCTCAACCACATGCTGATTCAAGCACACATATTCCAGACTTTGCAAACATGCACACACTCAGACATACAGACGTAGAAGAACACACAAAACACACATACATATACACGCGCACAGCACATACAAAAATCGCGCAGAAACACACACACACACACACACACACATGCATAATCAGGCACCCATGTTTAGAGACTGAAGACACACACAGACATACATGCACACGCACGCACAGACACAAAAAACAATCACAAATAAACCACACTCAACCACATACACATGCAAAGAACGCACATGTTCAGACGCTTGAAACACACATGCTCAGAGAAGGGAAACTTATACATACTGAAATATGCAAACGCGTAAACACACACAGACACATATGCATTCACATACACACAGGCACAGGCACGTACAAAAAACACGCAAACGCGCACACACAACCACATACACATGCACACACAGGCACATAAACTTATTCACACTAAAACATCCATGTTCAGACACTGGAAACATATACCCACTCAGAAATACAAATGCACAAGAACGCACACACATACACACATACATGCACAGGCACACTGGCATGAGCGCCCGTGGGGATTCCCCACGGAGCTACATGCACAGGCACACACACGCACGGTCGGCACAAATGGACACGCAATTCGGACTTATGGCTGTCAGAAACGGAAATTTTGGCGGGTGTAGCACCATTCTTCACTGTGGAGTCGCGAAAAAGGGACAGTCTCTCAGCTGGGAGGCTGGACTACTTGCCAAAGAAGGGACGATCTCTACTACCACTACTGCTCTACTGCTCTACTACTCGAGCGCGGGGTCTGTCTTTGAGAAAGAAGTCATCAGTAGTTTTATGTTTAGCATACAAATGACTGCAAACTTGTCGACGTTGTAGACATGGTTTCAGAGTAAACGTGGCGCACAATAAAAAGATCAGGCAACGAATCGTTTGGAACGCGTAAGCTTTCTCCTTCATTACAGTCGGTTTAATGGTTTAGGCGTGCCTGAGGGGGAACAAACACTGATTCAATTTTTTTTCAATAGAGCCTCTGCGAAGCACACTTATGTTCACACAAGTGTATTAATGTGCACGAGTGTGTGTACGAGTATGTGCTTATATGCATAGGTGTCCTTGTGTACCAGTCTGCACGGACATTTGTAGGATATATGCACTAAGCTGCAAATTAGAATACCAATTTATTGGCACATTTACGTATATTTATAAAGACTATGACTACCCTTCATAATTACAACTTTAAAAACTATAAAATAATTAGATTATCGCTACAAGTTTCGTTATTCCGCTTTGTCCTTACTGATGAGCACAGAGGTGGGACATAGTCATATGTTCATATTTCTTAAGATACGGGATACAACAAGTTGTTCCCGTATCTTAAGAAATATGAACAAGTACCTGTCGAAGAGCACGTGTGAAACGAAAACTAAGCGACTTCTCTGGACCATCTATCCTCCTTCGAAAGTTCCTTAGTAGAAGATCTTGTGAAAGATCAGAGCCATAAAGATAACGTAAATAAACTCAAACTTTAAATCGTCTTTTCGTAGCCTTGAAGAAAAGTTTTCGGCGTCGATTAGTTTCTTTTCCATGCTCTGAATGGAAGTCAAAAGTCGCGGCGCATCCGTTGATCAGGACCGAAAACTTCAAACTTCGTTTTTACATCAATGGAATATTTCCTCAAGTTATTTAATTATGAGCTGAAATTTGCGAACAGTGTAACGCTATCCCGCATACTACCTTGACTCGCTCTCGCTCAAGTCTTGTATTATATCACCGATGTATATAGAGTCAAAGCGACCGTTCACAGCAATGTGATGATATGTTCGAAATGCTAACTAAAATTGTTAACCTTTCAAAACTGAAGCAACCTGGCTGAAGGAACTCCGGGATGGCCGCCTCGGTATTCGGAAATTATTCACAACGGGTTCTTTCGAAACTACTGTTTTTGAACACATATATTGTATTCGACTTCCCTGATGCAATGGTTCCCACATTGACTGACGCATTAAAATCGGATATGGTATCGGGCGTCCATCTTGCAGGCTTAACTCGATTGAATATGACATAGAAAACTGGTGGCTGGCGAGAAATCGAAGAAAGCAAATAAGAGCTAAGCCAGTGCCATGAAGGCCGTGATCAACTACTTCTAGTGGCTCTTCCCACATGAGCTACAAAGTCCATCATAAGTAAGTAATATTTATCCGATGCTTAGAGGCAAAGGGCACGATTAATTCCCTAAGCGTGTAAGGTAAAGAAGCCTAACATCAAGAGAAACTGTGGTCCTAAGAAAGCCCTACATGCCGTTGTCTCCGACAAAGAGCGGTCTTCAAGCTCATTAGGGAGGCTAACATGCCCATTCGGACTTCCTCCAACGACGACACGTCCGCGAATGGCCACACCGATCAGCAATCGATCACGATCGGATCAGCTGTTTTCACCCACAACCTGCGGCTGAATAGCACTTGTTTTCGTTTTTCAGGGTTCTTCCGAATAGTCTTAGTACTTACTGGTAGGACAGATGTTTTTTTGGCAAAGTGCAAGGTTTTTTTGCGAGTAATGCCCGTTTTTTAGTTACAAATATCACTTTTTTGGCTTTTTTCACTTGGTCCCTGCGAATTTACTAGAGCCCTTCATGGGAATATTGTTATTGTGTCCCTGCCTCTCTCAACGACCTTAGTTGATATAGACGTGAAGTTTGCTGCCGCTAGAAATGATGCGTTTTCATATTTCTTGTGTGAATTCTTTTCATATTTCACGGCGGCTTTCTTATGTTGATCTTTGATCAGTGATGATCTATCTCAGACTCGGACACTTTCTGATTGGAGCTGTTAATAAGGACTACTTCGGGCGTTTTCTGCCGTTTCGCTTCGTTTTCTCATTGCTGTCCCACTATTCGCCTCTGTTCCGATTTTCTGCAGAAAACAAAGTATCGTGCCCACTGCCTTTAACCCTGAAGAATTTGAAAGCACAAAAAAAACCTGCATTTTCACCTTTTGAGGGAGCAATCGAGTTTTACGACTGTCCCGTACATCAGATGGAAGTTTTGTAATCCCCAAACCATATTGGATAACAAGTAATGCTACATGCTCCATGGTCAACCGCCAAAAAAGAAAAAGTTCCTGTACAAATCTTGATTAAAAAGGATCGAAACAAACCGAAACTGAGCACTTTGTACCAACTCACGGCACTCAACCACGTTCCAATAACAAAAAGAACATACATCAATCGTGGTCCGTATGCGTAATTATACCTGAAATGTAGCCTTAACTGGTAAGAGCTTGACTGATAACAACAACAACTGTCTTCTCCGTAGCGCTCACGTGTGAGATTGTTGGAAATTTCTTCTGCCCCAGTATCCGCAATGTATCAAGTCAATGAAATTGAAGACATTACATTAATTGATTGTAAATACTGCTGGAAAGTTTTTCAACCCAATCGTTCGAAAAATGCAGTTGCTCTAATCAAATATCGTTATTATGTCCCTGCTTCTGTCAACGACCCTTGTTGATATAGACGTGAAGTTTGCTGCCGCTAGAAATAATGCGTTTTCATATTTCTTGTGTGAATTCTTTTCATATATCACGGGGTTTTTCATATGTTGATCTTTCGGTTGCTCTAATCAAATATCGTTATTATTACTTGCCCTATAGATCTATACATATTTTTTTCCTGGTATTTTCATATATCTTGCGACGTGGTATTTATGTAATATATAACAAATATTCATCGACAAAATTCTATAGCGGAAGGTATTTATAGGACTGTCATCCATCGCCAAATAAGAATTTTCTTGAATTGAATTTTTTTGAATTTTCTTGAATAGTATTGCGATTGTAGAGGCTAGCCATGTCACAAAATCGATCTCGCACACGCCAGGCAGCCAGTGGTAAGAATGTCTCTGGCAATATTATATCAGGTCAATGTCCTACCGATAGTGAAATTGCAGGAATGTCAATGAGTGATATACTCAGCGCTATGATTGAGCGCAATGAGCAAATTAAAGACCCAGTAATGGCCAAGTACATAAACGCTCTGGTGGCCAAATTACCTGACACCATTGCAGATGCGATGGAAGCGGATAAGAGGGGGCGGAGTCTAGTCATCTCCGGCTTGTCGGCTTCCGAGACAACGCCTTCCGGCAAGCAACGGGATGTGGAATCCAAAGTTACTGCAGTCCTAGATATACTGGGTGTAGAGTGCAGGCCAGTGGAGGTTTACCGCATGGGTAAGCCTGGGTTAACACATCCACGTCTTGTCAAAGTTGTTCTTCCATCTAAGGCTCACTGGGTTACTGCGCTCTCCAACAGTCGTCGTTTACGGACCTCCGCTCAGCCTAACGTGTTTGTACGTAAAAGTTTAACGCCTGCAGAGCGGAAACGTGAATATGAACTTCGACAAGAGTGTAGAGAGCGTAATAAGCAACTCAATGGCCGGGTTTGGGTGGTGTACCGCGGCGAGTTGAGGCGTTCTGATGAACTTCCTAAATCAGGAGGGCCGGGAAACCTCTAGCTCGTCACGGTACACTCCTGGAATGATATCTCTTCAGTTGTAGAAGTCTGGGCAACAAATTGCACCACCTCCACCTTTTTCTTGATCTGTATGAACCAGACCTTATCTTTATCACTGAAACGTGGCTGTCAGCTAGAATAACTAATGCTGAACTACTATGCGGTCGTCCTTACAACGCTTTTCGCCTCGACCGTCATGGAAAGAGAGGTGGTGGGGTGTGTTGCATAGCAAAGAATTCACTCAGTTTGACTACTATTCCTACTCCTGTCTTGAAAGCAGAGCTTCTATGTCCTTCAGAGTTATGACGCACTCACTTCGTCAATGTTTAGAGTTGCACTAATATACAGACCTCCCAATTCTAATTCTAATGACAATGAAAAACTCATAGACGCTCTACTCGATGTTTGCTCCTCAGGCCAGTACTTGATTGTTCTCGGCGATTTTAATCTTGAAATAGATTGGGTAGCGGAAAATACCAAGAATTCTGTCTCGTCGAAATTCCTGGAGTTTTTTAAATGCTGTGGTTTAGTTCAACATGTGAGAGAGCCTACGCGTGGAAGCTCGATTTTAGACACTGTCTTAAAGGCAGTTGGCACGATGGTTTCCTACTTAGCCTAAAATGCTAGTAGGGCGCTGTATAGTGGGGAAATGGCGAAAGAACGGAGTGAAACGGTCAAAATCCGGCGAAGAAAAAGCCTCCGTTCTCAGTGACTTGAAAATCGATTTCGGACGAGTTTCCCGTAGGCATCTTACCAATCACCGCTACCGAAGATACGGCTGCATATGTGTACCCATATATGCATGCAGCATCACCGGCCGCTTCATACCAATCCCTTTGCTTCATAATTTGCTCAGCAAATGAATGAATACGAGCGTCAGAAACGGTCGTCCGTTTGTGGGCGGGCGGGCAAGGAAGGCGTTTGGGACGTAAAGTTGTTGCTCAATAGGGCGTTATAGAGGTACCCTCCTTGGAAAAGGCTTCACGCAGCGCCTGTCCGAGGTCACGGAATTCTGTTAAGCCAGTTGTACAAATCCTACACCTGTATAGCGATTTATCGTGCCAACTGCCTTTAAGTAATGCTCTGTTTATCAAGAACCTATGTATCTGTTCGCCGTTTGCAGGCTCTGACCACAACGTGGTTGCTTTCGAAACCCTAATTTTTCTTCCGGAGCATGAACAAATCCCTTTACCGAACTTCATAAGAACTGATTTCGTTGGACTTTCGGAATATCTTTCTGCAGTTGACTGCTGGAACGTATTTGAAGGATACTTGATCTTTTTAAGAGTTTCTGTCGTACTCTTTTCGCCCGTTTCGCCAAATACGTGCCTACGGAACCCAGGAACACTCCGAAATTGCAGTATCCAAAGCACATTAATAACTTGATGGCTCAAAAAACTCGGCTTTTCCGCACATTACAGAATTCACCTCAGTCACTTTCTCATTACAAACATATCTGTAAAGAACTCGATCACCATTTAAAAAAATTCCTGGCTAACAAGGAAAAACGTATTGCTAACAATCCACACAAAAGAATGTTTTTCACTCTCATTAAAAGCAAAATGAAGCCACAGGCAAGCATCCCAGTGCTTCGTGATGACTCTGACTGCCGATTTTTGACTGATCCTCAAAAAGCAGAAGCACTTGCAGGTTTTTTCGCTTCCGTTTTCACTAGGCCAGAATCTGACTTCGATGGTGCGTTAGTGTCTGCCTCTCAAATGAACTGCCCTTCAGATACCCTGGTTGCCCCAGAAGAAGTGTACAAAATTCTGAAATCATTTAAAGGCTCCTGTTCTGTGCCGTTCGATGGTATTCCTCAAATTATCTACAAGAAGTGTGCGTTTTCACTGCATAAGCCCATTTGTATTATCCTTAACGCGTCTCTGATGTTTTGTGAAATCCCTTCTGCTTGGAAAGAGTCAGTTATAACAGCTATCCCTAAGCATCCAAATGCCAATCTCGTATCTTCGTACCGTCCCATCAGCATAACCACACCTGTGGTTAAAGTGCTGGAGAAAGTGATACGTGATAAGTTGGCAGAATATTTCAGCAAGAACAAGTTGATTCCCATCGAACAGCATGGATTTGTTATGGGCGCTTCCACGTGTACGCTTATGATAGACAGTGTGTTTGACTGGGGCCTTTCCATAAACAGAGGACAGGGCATTGACGTAATTTACTTCGACCTATCGAAAGCTTTTGACAGAGTGTGTCATGACAAGCTTCTCCTTAAACTGCGTCATTTAGGTGTCAGTGGACCCATTTTCGATGGGATTCGCTGCTATTTAAATGACAGACACATGTGTGTTAGAGTTGGTAACGCGTTTTCGAGCCGATACTTGTGCAGCAGTGGGGTTCCCCAGGAAGGTGTATTGTCACCCTTATTATTTTTGGCTTATACCTATGATTTACCTAGCTGTTTGGCAACGCACCCGTCGGTAAAAATTCAAATGTACGCTGACGACATCAAGGTATACGGCTTTTATAATGAAGACACACACGAGTGCATCCACCAGGCCTTAACCCAATCCATCCACAACATGATGGAGTGGGCTTCGATCTGGGGATCCCTGTTAATCTTGGAAAGACGTCAGTGCTTTACATGGGGAAAGCTATCAGGACTCCATATGATTTCAATGGTACTGTACTGAAAGCAACTGACGAAGTTCGCGATCTTGGTTTCCATGTAAACTCGGAGCTGGATTTTGATTGTCACATTAGTATCATTGTAAAAAAAGCTTTTGGCGCTATGTTAACTATCTTCAGGAACATTCACTACAATGACGCCTCAACTTTTTTGAAACTTTACAAGGCTTATGTTGTCCCTATTTTGGAATATGGATCACAAGTATGGAGCCCCAACACGAAAAGGCTTCAAGAGAAAATAGAGAGGGTTCAGCAAACCTTCACGAGAATTTTGATGAATCGCTGCGATCCTAGTCCAGCTGACCGTGTTTGCATGCCTAACTATAGAGAGCGTTTGAATAGATTTGGACTCAAAACACTCCTTTACAGACGCGTACATCATGATGTTGTGTTAAGCTTTAAATTGCTAAAAGGGGAGCTGAAGCTAAGGCCGAGCAAATACTGGACGTTTAGGCCTTGTCGAGGGCGCACTCGCAAGCTCTCTCTACAATGTCCTAAACTTGAAAAAAGACAATGTAACAAGGTTTCTAACTCCCTTCTTTTTCGAGGAGCGAAATGGCTTCAGCTTCTTCCAGATGAAATCCTCGAGGCTCAGAATATCTGCGCTTTCAAGAGCATGTTGAGGAAAGTCGACCTGTTATCTATTCTTGGTATACAGGACTTCTAGGAGCTCCACTTGATTTAGCCCAGCTTCCGTCTCTAGATTTCATCATTTCAGCGATCAGGTCCACCATTCCTTCGGCAATGCGCTCACCCACCCTGCAGTCCAACCGCACAGGAGAAAGCCGCGATATATATTATTTTTTTATATACTTTGTGATTTACTTTTATGTTTTTTATGTTTTAGGCTTCATCCTATGTTCTTGTTTTATGTTTCTTTTTTGTTTTGTCGCTTGTAGATAGCTACGTCTTACTCAGATTGAGCCTGTGCAATGCGTAGGAAGATCTTCGGTCGGTATTATGCCAGCGTGTAGGGCCTACACCTAGGGTGCCGTCAGTCAGAGTCTAGTTTGTGAACATGTGTGTTGGCGGGTCCGAAGCTGAGTTGTTAGGGATAGGGAATAGGCTGCGTTTATACTTTGCGGCAGCGTAGCGTAGCGCTTCCAGCGTACGCCAGCGGCAGTGTCGGGGAAAGGATAGATATCGATCTAGCGTTCCCAGCGTCACCAGCGTACGCTAGCGTGCGCTAGCGCTGGCGTAGCGAGGGCACGGGAAGCATAGCTATCGATCTAGCTTCACCAGCGTTTCTCCAGCGTTTTCCCAGCGCTTGCAGCGACGGGGCTAGAGAGTATTGAAGGTAGGAGAGTATTTTGTAGTACAAAATACTCTCCTACCTTTAATAAATGGCTAGAGATGGGCTAGAGAGTATTGAAGGTAGGAGAGTAGTACAAAATACTCTCCTCCCTTCAATACTCTCTAGCCCCTCTCTAGCCCCGTCGCTGCAAGCGCTGGGAAAACGCTGGAGAAACGCTGGTGAAGCTAGATCGATAGCTATGCTTCCCGTGCCCTCGCTACGCCAGCGTGCGCTAGCGTACGCTGGTGACGCTGGGAACGCTAGATCGATATCTACAGGGGGGGGGGGCAAAAAAAAGTCATTCCGACCGAGAGCGAAGTTTTCGCAGCCAAGACAGAGGAAGTGGATATAAGTACCCAAGATCTTCGCTCGTATTAACAGGAGCCGGCTGCGCGCATTCACGCGTTCATGACAAATATTAAGTTCCGAATCTCCAGTTACNCGGCCTGAGTAGAGAGCCTTTGGAATTCAGTGCTCACANCGCGATCTTGGAATCACCCATGGATAGCTACCTGGAGACCAGTACTCTTGATCTGCAAGACCTCAAACATCGAGCAGCTCCGGCAACGTCGCTACGGTCCAGGACATCATCTTCACCCCATTCACCAAGGCGCGGGTTGATGGTGTGGACCGGCCGTACCTGGAATGGGAAGACCGATATTTTCTTTGTAGACCCCGACTGAAGGTGAGCGCTGGCGGTTACATCAAGTAACTCGAGAAGGATATCCTCCCTACATGTGGTCGCCCGTACCTTCTTGGAGACCTTGTGCTGCTACAGGTTTGGGTGCCACCACATGGAATCGAAGGGTTTTGGAAAAACTCCCGCCTACTTCGAATGGAAGGGCGTTTCGTACCTGATGAAGATGTAATATTGAAGTATGTCCCCTGACCTGAACCCACTCAATTACCTAGTTCGGGCGGAGCTCAACAGGGTGGTCTACAGTGGCGGAGAAATCAACGATCTCGCTCAACTCCGGTACCCACTCACTTTCGCGCGGCCGAATCTCTCGATGGCGCTCCTCCAGAAGGCTGTGGCGGAGTATCATTATAGTATTTAATGTGCTCTTTAATATGGTAGTAAAAATGTCCGATAAAAATTTAATAAAGTGTAACTTATAGCGCCTTGAAAGTCATGGAGGCAAAATGACTTTTTTTTGCCCCCCCCCCTGTATTCTTTTCCCGACACTGCCGATGGCGTACGCTGGAAGCGCTACGCTACGCTGCCGCAAAGTATAAACGCAGCCATACTCAACATCCGAAAACTCAGTTTCCGACTCCATGCTTGGTTGTCTTCTAGGAATGACGTTTTCCCTAGCGTCATCCGCCACTGAAGTTATTTCAGAGAGTTACTGGGGATTACCCAGCTCAGAGGACGCCTGGTAAGGGCTGACTTACATCAATTTTTGTTCCTCCTATGAAACTTCGACTAAAGAACTTTCTACCTATTTTACGGGCTGTTTGTTCTCTCATTTTAGCGTTGAGTAATACTGTAGTTTGTATTCTACTGTGTCCAGCCCGAGTGTTGTAAAAGCGCACCTCTGCGTGCAACGAATAAATAAATAAATAAATAAATACACTATCGTTGTCCTTTATGGAATTCACTAATAAATTGATGAGTGTGGTCCTCCCCTTCAAGAATAGCTTGAGAATTGTACTCGGTTTGGGAAGCTCATACTATTTTCTAGAGCAATGACTGCGCTGAACAATAGCTAAGATTCCTGATACCTTGCTGTGATGAACCATGTGGGATCATCCTCATCGTCATCGTATAGTAGTCCAGTTATCGTTGGCTGCTCTATTGTATGACCCCTTAACTTTGTCAGAATTGAGAGTTCATCCATGATGATTGCTCATTCTTCCGTAATAAATCCAAACTAAAGAAAGGGGGTTGCAACTCATCACGCAACTTGGTATTGCGAAGGTTCTGCTACAGATATGATGGCAACGCTGACGTAGTCTTCGGAGAGCTAAAATTTACGCAATATGATGTGCTGTTGGTAGATGTCGTTGCATGCATCAATGCAATTTTAATTCGGAACAAATGCTAATTGGACCTCTCAGTTCCGTTGCAGCTCATTTCATAGCTTGAACGGGTAGCATGTCGGCCCATCATAGTACATTGATGTCGAATACCTTTTCCCCATGGAAGGTTTCAAGAAGGAGAGACTTTGCGGAAAAACCTTTGCCGGGTTTTTTGCGTCATTGTATCTTGCACGCAGACAAATGACACTCTTCCTAACTAGAATATCTTTTATTTAGATTTTGTATCACACTCAAGCTTTCATGCTATGGACATTCATTAGGCTCTTCGTTACTGGCTACTTGAGAAAAGAGCATGTGCAATGGAATCTGAGAGATTTCCCCTTTCCAAGTATTGCCTTCATTTTTTTCCTCGGTTACAGGTTTAAAATTTTAACGATGGCACTTCTACTTCTCTATAAAACATCTTTCTCAGCCTGTGAGGTCCTCTGGGGTGTGCTGCTATAGCCGTAAACAAGATGATGTAACAATTATATTCAGCTAACGTTTTGGGATTATGATCCTAGAGCGTGGAGATTGTGTGAACTACCCCCTCCCCCCTATTGTCATATTTGCAAACTATAGAACAGGTCGTCCTTGATTTTGAACTTTAAAACAGCCGTCCAGAAACTTCTCCTAGATCACAGCCACAATATAAGTCACCTAAGCTGATTCCAGGTGGGTGACGTAGTCCCTCGACTTGAAGCCGGTGGCAACTGCAGCCCATAGAGGTCAGCAAGCGGGGCGAGCTCGTCAATGATTGGCCAGGCATTCGTCCTTTCTGTTCATTTTGGGATCTTTAGTGTCCAAAAAGCCACAAAGTTTTGCGTGGAGAAGTCTGGGGTTCTCGCATCAAAAGTTTCATAACCACTTCAAACTCAGTGCCTCGATTACACGATGATCACTCAGAAGGGTGGGTCTCACAGATCCCTTTGGACCGTCTAGAAATCATTTACCCTGAAGCACTGAGGATCACCCAGCCACCAAGACACTCAACCCCACAACGGGTCCATGACAGTTCCATGAGTAGTACAAACCTTGAGTGATTTATTTAACACTTTTTCCCCAGTGTAAAAGAGAATTATTTCAATCGGCCTCGATTGTTCTGAACTCTGTACCGCACCACGCATTGTATTAGGTTGGCGGGAAAGTTCTGTCACTTTTTCCAAATTGGGCTTTCTTTTTTATAGAGAGGAGTGTAAGATCAAAATTGTACAGCAATGTTACTGCGGGGTCCTTGCCAGTTTTTGAGCACCTCATGGATGCCATCGCTTCACTATGCAGGGAGACACGACGCAAAGTTGGACACCATCTCAACCTCGACTTGAACTTGGGTTATGGAGGTTTTCTCGTCCGCATAACGATTGATTACGGAAGGCTGTTAGAAGGGGCGATGTCTGTGCTACACCAGTGCAAGGGGAGAGAAATCAAGCTCCATTGCATGAGGTACGGCTCGAACTTTTTTGGACCAAGTGCGTTGCACTATCTTGGTGAGGGCCGGCTGTGCGGACAAATTTTTCCCTCTGATCCACGATACGCCTTAGATCTCGTAGCTGCTTTGCACTGACCAAGGGAGCAGCTTCTTCATCCAGCAGTTTCCCGACCTAAGCTGAGTTTGCAGGTAACCCAAACCTCACTTCGTCATCAAAACTGTAGGCTCCCTAGGCTCCCGCCTTGAAGCGTTACTGTCGTGGTAAGGTTGCCCGATGATTGAGGGCATCGTGCTTATTCAGCTCCATTATTTTGGCATCTGCAGCTAACACGCTGGCGTCAGGGTGGTGGGAGAAAGAGTTTGAGGAAGCGTTGGGAGGGGTCGGTTGATGGTAGCGGATAAAATCCTTGTGCATATTGCAGAAGAAGAAGCAAGAGGCAAGCGAGTGGTACTAACAGAAAGACCACTCCTTGTTGTATAAGAGCTTACATTACCGGTTAGTTCGAAAAAGAGCGACAGAACTTTTCCGCCAATCTAATAATCACACGCGAAAATAAAGAGAAGATATGTATAAATTCTACGTAATATTTTTCCATGCAGGCTGTGTGTTCCTAGGAAAACGTCCAAACTTTACCACCATCCCTCTGGTGCTGACTAACCCAATGCTCACGACTCCTTTCCTAAATAGTGACCCACCCCCGTGTGGTTCCTACGAAGATGATGCGCCTTGGCATAATGATAGCTGATCAAGGAGATCGCCGCTGACATATACATTACCGAAAAACGGCGGGCACTTCTCATAAATTGCTTAAAGTCGGTGGCACGACAAGTCTCCAAAACCTGTAGAGCTAATACGTCTAGCAGGTCAGGAAAGTACCCTTATAGTGCCCCATCAAGCTGCAACATACCGACCCAGACACCCAGCGCGCCAGCCCGCCCACAAGTGAACGATACTGATGGCCGACTCGCTTCATTTGCGATGTACAATGTGAAGCGAAGATAGATAAGGTAGATAAGAAGTGGCTGCGGTGCTACATGGATATACAGTCCTCATCATTGCGGACCGGTGGGGCGTGTCAGCCAGTAGGAGTGCGCACACTGTTGAAGCCGTTCTCAGCCTTTTTTGTTGAAACGCGTATGCGACAAAAAGTGGTAGAAAACGAGTAATACGAATATAATACAGTAATGTCACTTGCCCGCTTCAACAACTGGTGCAGAACGACTTCATCACCGCGGAAGACGGAGCCGCACTGACACGCCCCACCGGTCCGCAATGATGAGGACTGTATGTGTACATACATGCCGTTGTACTACCGTAGCGAGCACTGGCACGGTGATAACGGGAAAGCCGTCCGAAATTGTTTTCGAGCCATGTAGAACAGAGGCTTTTTTGCAGATTTTCGACCGTTTCGCTTCCCTCTTTCGTTTTTCCACTATTTAGCACCCCTGCTACCATTGCAGACAGAGCGCCAAATAATCGTACCATCTGCTTCTAGTAATGGACTGATCTTTCAGAGCATCTCAGAGAGAAGTTCAGAAAACATTTGTCCAGAAGGCATTATTGAGTAAGAATCCATCGAATGTTGGCTTACACCGATCAATAAAGAGACTAGGGCACAAAATGCGAGCGAGGATGACGTCACAAAGGTCAAGCAAAAGGAGGAGAACTAATGGATCGAAGCAGGGTCCCACAGAGGTATTGATACACTACAGCAGTCGTATAGTTGCTTGGCTAGTACTCGCTAAGGCCATCTCCATCGCCAGACGAAGAGGTATTGAGCGGAGTGGAGACCTGGCCACCTGGCTTTATTTATCCTCGAAGTGGCACTTGTATGAATGCAGTCGGGATGAAGTGGAGGCCGTCCACAGGCACCTTTTGCGACCGGCGGTGTTCGAGAATGCTCAGGGAAGGTATATTGGGCAGTGGTACGGCTGGCGATGCTCTACAGCAACTGCTGGCACATATGCAGTCAGGACGGTCACACACACACACACACACACACACAACTCCAATCCGTCTGAGGACACAAGAGCTGCGACTGCGTTGGTATGAGCATTTGCTAAGGTCTGAAGATTACAGGACTAGGGAAGCGTTGAACTTCAAGGTACAGGGCAAACAACCACGAGAGGCCTCAAAGAAGCGATGGAGAGACCTCATCAAGAAGAACCTCACTGAGCTGTGTGCAACGGTAGAAGATGCATTAGAACGACGCATTTGGTGATTCAAGGAACAAAGTTTTTGAAAATTATGACCAAAATTGTGATTCCCAGTGGAAAAAACAATCTCCAGAGGAGCCATCCATGTTTATCTTCTGTGAAATATCGAGCATCTCTACTTTATAGACGGTATTAGGAAGAATAATCATACACTTAAAGACACATGTACGCTTGAACACATTGAGGGTGTATGAGACTATCAGCCCCCAGCTGTCGATGTGTCGTGGTCCCCCGCCCTGCACGGGGTTAGAGTACGTACCGTGGGAAAGTCGTAATTCCTTGCTACACCGCCCTTTCGCAAACTCACGTTTTACTAACACCGTCCGCGCGGCGCGGTCGCGTGCAGCTCTCTTGGCTTTTTGCCAAGTCCTGTAATTGCGCTTTGGAATACAAGTAAACGCAATTTCTTTATGCGGATAACATTTTAGGTGCTGCAAAATAAGAACCGAAGATGATGACGAGGGCTAGAACTCAAGAGCAACTGTGGTGCTTCTGCAATATCCCTCAGAGGCCGCGCATTCCCACAGAACATGACAATAAAAACGGCCTAAGCGTCCCACTCGTTAGTTTGGACAATACCTCAAATGTTAGGAAATTGCGTTTTGCTTGTATTGTCATGTTTTATTGTCATGTTGTCCGTTTTTATTGTCATGTTCTGTGGGAATGCGCGGCCTCTGAGGGATATTGCAGAAGCAGCACAGTTGCTCTTGAGTTCTAGCCCTCGTCATCATCTTCGGTTCTTATTTTGCAGCACCTAAAATGTTATCCGCATAAAGAAATTGCGTTGTACTTGTATTCCAAAGCGCAATTACAGGACTTGGCAAAAAGCCAAGAGAGCTGCACGCGACCGCGCCGCGCGGACGGTGTTAGTAAAAACGTGAGTTTGCGAAACGGGCGGTGTAGCAAGGAATTTACGACTTTCCCACGGCCCCGTACTCTGACCCCGTGCAGTTTTGGGCGGGGGACCACGACACATCGACAGCTGGGGGCTGATAGTCTCATACACCCTCAATGTGTTTGAGCGTACCATGTGTCTTTAAGGCACGTATAATGTACTGGCTCGGAAGTAGTAAGCGTGCTATGTAGTAGGAAAATGAAAAGGTGAACTAGACAAGATGGACATGAATCTGCAAAAAACGTTTCGTTATACACGCCTCAGAACAAGAAACTAAC